ATATATACTATATATAGATATTTATATATATATATATATATATATATTATATTATAATTATATATATATATATATATATATATATATATATATATATATATATATATATATATATATATATATATATATATATATATATATATATATATATATATATATATATATATATATATATATATATATATATATATATATAGGTTTATATTATGGAAATATTTTAAAAATAGCTTCTCCATTTAAACCTAACTTTTTAAAAAAAAAACACCATGACTTCTTCTTCTATTAAGATTATCACGTTTTGGTTATTATTAGTCTAAATTATAGTTTTGATCCTTTTATTTTGTCTATTTCACGAAATTAGTCTCTCTATTTATTTTTTAAATAATTTTGATTTTTAATATCTATTTTTTCATTAAAAAAATGCAAATGTGTCAATTTTTTGTATACATGACATATTTTTGAAATGAGAGAGAACATAGAGAGTATTTAGAAAGAAGATGATCGGAAGACGACTGAAAGAATAAAACATCATAAAAAATACAATGAATAATTAATCTTTCTTATACAAAGTCAATAAAAATATGTCACACATTTAAAAAATAGTAGACAACAATATTATTTAGACGAACAATAGATACAAAGACCAAAATTATTCAAAGAATAAATATGAGAACTGATTTCGTGATTGGACTAAAATAAAGGTAAAAAAAAATCTAATTTAGCCTTATTATTAATATTATTTTGTTTCTTTATAATTTTATTATAAAGGAAATAGTGTGCATTAAACAATATTTAAAAGACTAAACCTATTATCAATTAGTGAAGGTGTTATGTTATTGATTTGTTGGTCAAACCACTATTTCATTGGTCGAATCATATAATTATGTTAAATTAAATAAAATAATTTAGTTGAACAAATAAATTTCTATAATAAAATTGTATAATTATTAAATAGATCAATTTAAAATATAAAATAATTAAAATTATTTCAACTTAAAATAAGAAAATTAATTTCCTTATTGCCCTAAAATATAGGGACCAAATATATAATAAACAAAATAATTATTTAGTAAACATTTTCAAAACCAGTAAAAAGACACCATTGATTTGAATAATCTTTTGTTACATGAAAACAAAATAAGCACATATCCTTATAAATTATGGTGTAAATTGAAAAATAATTAAATTAATACTCATAAATTTAAAAGATTAAACTGACAGACCTTTACAATTTTAAATATTTTATGACCATTTATTCAATATTAATATACTAATTTATTATTGTGCCATTAATATATTAATAATTAATAAAAAAAATTGGTCGAGTTTTAATAATTTATTATTGTGCCATTAATATCCGAGTTTTAATTTTTGTGACATCAAATAGTATTAAAATGTTTTCTTTAAATTTTCTTGATAAAAAATAATTTAAATTTGGGGAGTTACACTTTCAATATTTTTAATTAAATTAATATCTAGATATCTAGCATAACTTTATTATTATAATACTCTCTCTATTTCTTTTTACATGTCACATATGCATATTTTTTATTTATAATATAGGTTATTTTCCAATTTCAATAAAATATTATTTATAAATGTGTTAATAACACTTTCAATTATTTATTGGAAAAAATTAGTAAAATGAAAATAATGATTACACTAATTACAAAAAGAAATTATATAAAGTTAAAAAAAAGGTTTATGCTATGCAAATATCCATAATAGATTTAACCATAGCCTCTTCTTTTTAAACAAAACATTATGTCCTCTTTTGTTTACATTATCATGCTTTTATTATTTTGTCTTTTAATTTTGTTTCCCTCATAAAAGAAAGAGTATGTATTAAGCAAGATACCTATTGGTCAACACAAAATGTACAAAAAGAAATAAAAAGAAGTAAAAAAGAAAAGAAAAACATCATGCCTAAAACAATGGGAGGAAAAATAGGGAGGTTGGTGCATCCATTATAGTGCCATTTTTGAGTAGATTGTTTTTTCCTCTAAAAAAAATATTAAAATAAAGAAAAATTTATAAAAAACTAGAGTCATAACTTTTTAAATGAAAAACACCTACCCTAAAAAAGAAAAAAAAATAAAGCTTATTTATGGTCAACTTTAAATTAATTATTTTTTTTAAAACTCATTTATTGCCAATTTTTTTAAACATAATTTATTGCCAACTTTAATATAATTGAAAAAAATAAACAAAACTTGTCAGAATTTGGAATAAGATTCATTGGCTTTAGTCCATCCCACTTTCAATTTTATAGTAATTTTTTTAAAGCAATTTATATTAAAAAAAGACTTTTTCTTTCTTTTCCAAAACTATCCTTATTTTTTTAATATATTCAAATTAAGTAGTAGTACTATACTACTATATACTATTAATATCATATTCATTTAATATTAAATTAAAACGTCTTTATTGAATTTTCAAGACGGACGTGAAACTATTTCTTAACCAAAATTTATATTTTTAATTTATCAATTAAAATATATAATTTTATAATTAAATTCCCATTCTTAAATACTTTTTCATTATAATTTTGTCGAAAAAATATGCTTTTTCATTATAATAAATTTTATTATATGCATAGTTTTTCTACTTTATTTATTTACTCTTCCTTTTTCTTACAAACCCTAATTTTCATAAATCACTCTGTAGATTCTGTGAACTAGTGTTGTAGTTTTTCTCTGTAATAATTGATTTTTTATTTATTTTAAATTTTTGTTTTTGAAAAAAAAGTTTTGATTTTGAAGCTTTTTGCTTTGTATGCAATGGTGAAGGTTTAAGCTACAGTGTTACGTTTTCTCGGATTTTATCTTCAAAATCGAAGAATCTGCATCTGGGTTTTCATCAAATTTGTAAAAGTTTGTGTTTTTGAAGCATTCAGAAGTTTTTCTGAGTTCATATTTAATTGTGTTGTTTCTGGGTATCTTAGTTTTGCATTGAAGTAGAGTGTTGTGAAGAAAGTTGTAAATTTGAGATTTTGGGTTGTGTTAAATTTTGTCTGATTCTCGAAGAAATGGAAGAAAGAGAGATTTTTGGTTCTGGACATGGTGTTAATGTTAATCAGGTCCCACAGGGGTTCAACTTGGGTCAAAATCAAAATTCGTTGAGTTTTTCTGGGCCCACTGGGGAGGTTCCGGCGACTCTTCCGGTGATTGCACCGGGTGGCGGTGGTATGGATATGAAGAAGAAGAGGGGTAGGCCTAGGAAGACTGAATCTGGAAGTAAACCGGCGCTGTCTCCGATGCCGATTTCGGCGTCGATTCCGTTGACTGGAGATTTCTCTGGCTGGAAAAGTGGTGGAGGGAAGCCTTTTGAAGCAATCAAGAAGCCTTTGAAGTTAAATGATTTTGATGAAGGTAAACACTAAGTGATTGGTGTTTCTTTGATCCTTTGATCTGATTAGTTAGTTAGTTTAATGATGTTTTTGTTTTTGTTATGTTTTTAGTGATTGTTCTGCAGGGTTGTTAAATGTTATCTAATCTTATATATGGCGGTGTATAAGTGGACCCTTAGATTAGATTCCCTTTCAGATCTTGAATTGAAGATGTGTGGTCATAGTTATGTGAGGTCGGTTTTCGAATCGAATTAGCACATGCTATATTTGATTGTAATCCTTTTTGTTTCCCTTTATAAGGGAAAAATTTGATCTCAGAAATCGAGTTAATCGAATAGACTTTATTAACATAATACCATGATTGGTTTGTAAATAATATAAGTTGCATGTATTCGATTTGTATGATCATTTAAATGCATGAAGACTTTTTAGTTCATCGAGCTGATATGTGGAATTTGCGTTATGCGTATGATTTAGTGAAGCAGGGTAAATCTATTTTACCTATGTATTTTGATTCAGACCGATATGTTATCTTGTGTAACACTTGGCGATTTGTTACCTTATACGATTTATGCATATCGAGTTAGGGTTGGTTAATTTTTGTTTTACGTAATGAAATGAATGTGCTATTTATTTGTGAATTTTATATTAACTTGTTACCTTCTTGTTTTTTAGATGATAGAACAGCTCCACCCAGTTCCAGTTTCAAAACTCATGTGCTTACAGTAAATTCTGGAGAGGTATTGTGTTCATTTCCTTTTATGCGTATATTATGAAAATAGTTAGATTATATCCGACAAATTTGATTGGATACCATATTCAGAAGAAACCCGGTCCGCACTAGAGCGCTAATATAGTAGAATTTGAACAAATTGCTTTTGTTCTGAGATATTTTATGTAGCACAAAATGTTGTCAAGTAGCAGCACGCTATTGCTTGGTGAATTTTGATCCAGATGCTGTTTTGCGTGGTTGATGACACCACTTTAAACTAAAACAAATTAAGATTGATGTGTGCAATCTAATACCGATATATATTTGTTTATTGATTTGTGTTAGATGCAGATTGCAATCTTAAATTTGTAATCATTTAACTATCATAACTTGAGGCTGTTAATTTTGATATAAAGTTTGTTCATTGGTTAATTGTAATTGTGATTTTCCTATGGTTTGTTTTAGGATCTCTCGATGAAAATAATGTCTCTATCTCAACAAGAGAATCATACTATATCCATTCTCACTGCAACTGGCACAATTTCGAATGTCACACTTCGCCAGTCGGATGCCTGTGGAGGTACTTCGACATATGAGGTTAGCTTTGTCCTATTTCTTAACGTTACACTGTTGGACTTTTTATCCAATATGGTAAGACCCACCTATTTAGTGTTCTTAATTTTCTCCGCATCTATTTAGGTTTTGTCAGTTTCATCGATTTCATTAAAAGAATATCTCTAATTTTCAAACTTTCTATGATTTTCCCTTGTAAATATAGCTTATTATGACCTATACAAACACCGGTAATAATTTAAGAAAATAAAAGTGATTGAAGTAAACTCACGAGTCAGTGTAATGTAGTGTCAGGGTCAGTCAACATTGACGCATATTGGACACCAGACACATATTTGATCTGAAGTGTTGGCCCTATGCATGTTAACAATTTGATTAAAAGTGATTGTTGTAAACTCACGAGTCAGTGTAATGTAGTGTCAGGGTCAGTCAACACTGACGCATGTTGGACACCGGACACATCTTTGATCTGAAGTGTTGGCCCTACGCATCTTAGCAATTTGATTCAAATTATTTGCCATTAATTCACTCTAATTTCAAACTTAAGGGATTCACTTTATCTTCTTATTACGAAATATTAACAGTGCGCTCTTTCACAATCTCTTTCCAACACTGATCCTATTTTTCTTAATTATAGCGCTAGACGAAAACATAAAATGAATATTGTGAAACAGATTGTGAGCTTTTACAGGGAGTTTTCGAGATTCTTTCCTTGAGCGGATCATTTGTGCCAACCGAGAACGGATTGACAAAGAGCAGAGCTGGACGAATGAGTGTCTCTTTGGCAGGTCCAAACGGCCGTGTTTTCGGAGGCGCGCTCGCTGGTTTGCTGGTAGCTGCTGGTTCTGTGCAGGTAAAACTTGTGAATTTTACATTTTACACCACAAGTCAACTAGCCCTTATTTTTACATTTGACCGAGCTCTTTCTGTGTATTTCATTCATCAGGTTGTGGTTGCAAGTTTTCTTCCTGATAATCAGAAACCAAAGAAGCAAAGGATCGATCATATGTCACCAACCGCCCCTCCCACATCAACTCATATTAACAATCATGCATCTGAAGAATTGAAAACCGATCTCGGTGGAATGAAGCCTATCATGTCACCAGCCGGATTTAACTTCGCTTCATTCGGCAACGGCCAGGGCTCTAATGGCCAGGGCTCTGGCAACTCATCGTCATCTGGCGATGATGACGAGCATGTCCAACCCTAGTCATTCCGGAGATGAAGTATTTGTTTGATTTTGACTATATAAGAAATTGTTATATTATGGACAACTATAAGTGTTTGTTAAATGTAGTTCTAATATTTATGTAGCAATTAGATTTAGGATACATGTTGATGTTATGTATGCTAAGAATGTTAAATTTAAGTGCATGTGGTGGAATGTTTCTTATATGTAACCTAAACATTTATATTGTATGTTGTGAAAAATTGAAATTACTTTTTGGTTTTATTGTTTTATTTTTTTAATAGGAAATGTTAGTATTAGTTAAGTTACAAATGTTAATTTCTTGACCTTTGCAAGACATGATAAAGTTGTGATATATCTAACCACCTAGGGGAAGTGTTGTGTTGATTAAGAATATTTGATGGTCTGGTTTAGATTATTAAAACTAATTAATTTAAAATAACTTAAAGAATGACATCATTATGTATGGTAAAATTAATTGAGATTTATTTTTGATAGCTTCGAAATTAGAGGGAGTACTAAAACTAAAATCTTATGTTGAACAATGAACCAATTATATATATTTTTTAAATCATTTTTTATTGTAACTGATCAGAATGGATTGTCAAGGTCTGTGAGCTGTAAGTTGAGTAGCAGCTGAAGAGGAGATGAGGGTACCTACAAGATACTCTGATGTTAAAGTTTTAGGGAGAGTGTAAGCAAGTGTGAGAGTATGTGAGTATGAAAGAATGAATACCTGACCCTCTCAAAGGAGAGAGTATTTATAATCCTCAGTGCTGGACCAAGGTCTCCAATACTGGGCTACGATGAAGCACAATAAAGAAGACTGTCAGGGCTTACGTGTGTATGGAGGCCAGCACGTGGCCTTCCCCCTGGTTGACTGCCCCGAGAAAGCAGGAGTTGGACCTGGTATTCTCGGAGGGCAAGAAGGTGGTGACGATAAGGGTACGTGGGTCACGTTCTCTTACAGATACATGGGGAGTTGCCCAACGGTGCCTTACTTGAGCTGTTTGCTTTTGGGCCTTGTGCAAAGGTGTTGGATTGGCCTCCCCAACAGTGGGGCAAGTGCGGGCCCAGTCCAGATCAGGAGCCCCCAAGTTATTGCCCTTAGGTGAAATGCTGATGACTTAAGTTCAGCTTTATAGCTGGGGAAAATTTGCTCAAGAAGGGAGGTCGAAGTCCTCTGACGGAAATGAATTGTTGCCCGTGTCGGGGACAACCTGTTTGATCCTGTCGGGGATCTCGTGGACAAGCGAGCTGTGAGATCGACTAGGTCAGTTGTTCGTCCAGTGTTCGCTAGGAGTATATAGGCTACGGGGAGCTTCCACAAACTCTTTTTCGACGTGCCCATCTTCAAGGGGTTGTTACGATGTCGAGCGTTATTTCTCCCTCGAGGTGAATCACGACGAATATGCCCGTATGCATGTTTTAGCCATGATGTCAAGCATTTCTCCGTGTGAGGCGTCTGTATCATGCTCGCGTACGACGTTTCATGTTGAAGTCGGGGACGTGTTCGTCTCTTGAGAATGGATATGTGGCTGATTGTTGGGCCACGTGGCTGTTGCTTTGGGGTGCCATCTTTTCATGGGGAGTCCAAAAGGCCCAATCTAATGATGACTTTTCGTGATGAACCTCGTGGGGTGTGAGCCACCTATAAAAGGGGGACCCTAGGATTTCATTTATTATTTCTCAAATTTTCTTCTGCAATTTTCCTTGTTTGCGCGTGGATCTTCTCCTCCCAACTTCTCCAGATTTCTTCCAAGTATCCTTCATCCAAGTAAGTCATATCCCCTTAATAACATGTTTCCTTAGCGTTTCTATATTAAACACCTAGTTTTTGCCTTGACTGGATGAATCTTGGATGGACATTCATGAGTTCTGCGATGAACACTCATGAATGTTATTGAAGTTCATGATAGGGGCTAATTTTCATGGTATCGGGGACAATTTCCCCGTGTCGGGGACTATTTCCTCGGATAGCGGAGCTAATCCAGGCAGTATGTCTGTTTAACTGAATGTCCCCGGCTTGTTTTAGTATAGCAGTCGAGGGCTTGGGTCGAAGTCCGTTCCATGACGGATTCATCGCCCTTTCACTTGATTTACGGTGGAAGGGTGAATTTGATGATGTCAAATTCACTGTTTTCCCTGATTTTTAGGTATAATGGCGCATCCCGTCGAGGAAAACGTTATGCCCGCCCACCATGAAGATGAAGCCAACGTCGAGGACCCTTTGGCCTGGGTCGCACCTGAACCGAGAAATAGAAAGTCGTGCTTCTCGCACGATGCATCGTACATGTTTAACTGTCCGGAGGTTTGGGCTGAGGGAGCGCCCGCCAACTAGATGCTACAAATCACTCACTGTAACCGGAGGATATGCTCGTCGTATCCGGGCAAGCGATTACCCATGTATGAATTTTATTTCAAAGAGATGGGGATGCGTCTGCCCTTCAATGACTTCCAGGTGGGGTATTTTTTTCAGTGGCTACAACTAGCGCCCTCTCAGCTTCCTCCGAACGCGCTTGCGTTCATGCGGGCATTCGAGCTCGTCTTCCAATTTCTTTAAATCGGTGCAATGTTGCCCCTCTTCTTCTTCCGTATTTTTCACTTGCAAAGGCGGTCCATCGGAGGAGGACAGGCCTGGGTTTCTTTTAAGCAATTTGGGAAACTGTTTCGGCCATACTTGAAATTTGTCCGCCATTTCAAAGAGAGGTACTTCGTCGTGAAGCCTCTAACGGACGTGGCCATAGATTCCTTGTACAACTGGGTGGAAGAGATAGAAGATAGTTGTCCAGTAGTCTGACTGATGGCAAGATTCCCGCTCGAATGGCAGTGGAAACATTTCGAGCAAAGGCCCGAATATTATGCGGTAATACTTGAGGATTTAGACACACAAGATCAACTCTCCTATGAGAAGCTGGCGTCCTATGTTTAAAATTTCTCTCCAGCAAGGTATGTAGATGTGAACAACAACCTCCTCTTCAATAATGACGGGGATTATCTCCTCGTTAAAAAGTTTATCAATACAAATGTTTTGCTCTAATGTTCTTCAGACGAGGAAGCCATGAGGCTTTTAGGTAGGGGATATGGTCGTAGTCTTATTTTCATGTCTGCCTTTCGTGCGGCGACATGCTCGCGATATTTGTCTTTGTTTTATCTTGTGGCTGACAATTTCCTTTTGATTGCAGGTCAGATGGCGTCCCTTTCCAACCGTCTCTTAAAGCTGAGGCCCAAGAATGCTTCTACCTCGGGGCTAAAGAACAGGGTCACCCAACTCCAAGAGCAGGGCAAATCTGCTGCCCGTGCAAGTGGTTCCTGTAACACCCCAAATTTACCCGACATTTATTATAAAAATCAGAGATTATACAATTTCGGCAACCAAATCAGAATGCTACAATTTCAACTTAAAACAACGACATTCATTACAGATACATAACACATCACACTTGGATGAACGAACAACAACATAAATTAATCCTTTGAAACCAAGAACTTTCATAACTACGCAGCGAAATCATAATATTCAACTAAAAAGGACATAACATCTTTAACCAACTGAAAAATCTCCAAATAACAAGTACTTAACGAAAATCAACTTAAAGTCCAACAACTGAAATAATGACAACAATAAAACAGCGAGCGTTCACCCCCCAAGTGTTACGTGTTAGAGCAATGACACCGACTTGAACTACTGAAGGTAAACTGCCTTCACTCTGGATTACCTGCACGTTACCAACATATGGGTAACATTCAAATAGAAGGGGTGAGATATCGAACATTATAATAGAACACATGATAAATAGTACGTTAGAAATAGTTCATACAAAATCACCACTTCACAGCTGTTTAACAATGTTTAACATAATTAATTCATCCACACGACAACTCAGGATGCAACATGAAATGCGACTTGTTTTTATGCACATGCATGTGGTACCAATGGAGCAAAACTCCCAACATAGAAATCTTCCAATAAATAGAGGCATCAACAAGGCATAAGCCTTCAACTTTATATTTGCCAATTCAGGCCAACTTAAGGAGCATTAGCTCCAACATGATATGCTATGTATGCATTAATAACATGAATGTAATAACAACGACAACAATAATTCAACTTAATTCAACATTGGCCATAAGCCTACAACTTAATATCTGCCTATAATTAAAGGCATCTCAACATAAATCATCAATATGCAATTTCTCAACTCAGAACAACTTACACAACACTGGTATCGACCAAAACAGCATGCACGACAATGGGGATAGGGAGACTACATGCCCCTCAACATGCACAACAACCAAGACAGAATAACAACAAATATGCGCTCCTCGACACAACCTGCAACTTCGTGCAGCTCGACAAAATATCGTGCTCCTCAGCACGCCTTGCAGCCTAATGCCGCTCGACATCCATCCCATATATTCCCCGACACACCTTGCAACCTACATGCCGCTCGGCACCTAACACCATAAACATCCTCCTCGACCACTCATTCGGGCCAATAACATGGAAAAATACAATGTCATAACAATCACATCAATACAACCCATATTTTCCGGCCAACCGCTCGGAATACCACAACAGCGGGCAACTATATTTCCTATCAACAAATTCATTAATTGTACAAGACAATCACATATAAACCTTCCTAAAATGACCACAATAACAATTTACTAATTTCCTGCCAACCGCTCAGAAGATACAACAACCTAATGACCACATCAACAGACAATAATCTACATTAACCTATTCATTGATTATACTTGGGAATTATACAGATAACTCAAAACGCCCATAACAAGACTAACAAGCAACTTCCTATAACAAGTTCATTAATCGTACAAGACAGTCATACGATAACTCCCTAAACGACCACAACATGAAGAAACTGGAACTTCCGTAACAGATCACGAACATCAACGTACAACAGTCATAAATATGACCAATTCCCCCATAAAGGTCATCGTTGATCCCATTATAAGGTCAGAACCCCACCCTTACCTGGATTGAAGGTCGCTCTACC